AAGCGAGAAATCACCCCCCAGGGGGGATGGTCACGCCGCAATCCCTTCTCCTCCATTCTCCTCTCGGGATCTTGGGCATGCATGCACACGCGCCCGGCGTGAGTTTTAAGCCACTGGGTCCGGGACGCGAACCGCGGTCGACTACATGGGAGTCCAGTGACATAGCCATTATGCTAACTGCTGGTTCCCCCTAAATTTTTTACTTTTAATTTTTTTAGAGATAATTTTGCTGTAGGGCGCATGCACTTGCCAAAGAGATGGAGAGAGACCGTAGACAGAAAGTGAGAAATCACCCCCTGGGGGAATGGCCACACCACAATCCCTGCTCCTCCGTTCTCTCAGGATCTTGGGCAAGCACGGACACACGCCCAATGTGAGTTTCAAGCCGCCAGGTCTAGGACTCAAACTGCAGTTGAAAACGTCGGAGTCCAGTGATGTAACCACTATGCCATCTGCTGGCCCCATACTCCTAAATTATTAAGAATCTTAAAACAGCTGAGTTTAAGACAATAGCTTGTGTGTGCATGTTTTAATTTGCTATAGGGCACACCCACTTACAGGAAAGACAGAGAGACAGAGACTCAGGATTTAGGACATGCACACACACGCACCCAACATGTTTTTAAGCTGTTGAATCCAGGACTCGAACTGTGCCATCCTCTTAACCACTGCCTTAACCACCATGCCACCAGCCACTTTAACCACCATGCCACCAGCTGGCCCACTACAATGACACAACTCAAACTGACATCGAAAAATGAGAAGTCTTAAGAAGTAAAAGACGCATACGCTATTACATATGCCTCTCCAATAAGCAATGTTATCCCACAGTTTGGGAACAACAAAATCATTTAAAACAATTTTCAGTAAGAAAATAACAACTTTTAGTTTTGATTTTAATAACTCAGGTTATTTGAAATGTAATAATTTCAGGGGCTGGCAGGTGGTGTGGAGGTTAAGGTGACTCCCACATGGCCGACCATGGTTCAAGTCCCAGGCCTGGCAACTTGCTTTTTCACTTTCCTTTCCTCTCTCTCTCTCTCTCTCAGAAGAAGAAGAAGAAGAGGAAGAGGAAGAAGAAGAAGAAGAAATTAAATAAAATTCATTATAAAAAAGAAAGAAAGAAAGAAATGTAATGATTTCAACCTTCTTCACAGCACATACCTTGAACAGGCGTCTCTCCAAGCAACTCCCCCCGCTTGGAGGCATTCAGCTGGTGCCTACTATGTGTCCCTGGATCATGTGTGGCCTTTCCCGCTGACTCCGATAATACCTGACGTAAGTGGGAGTTCTCGGACGTTGCAGCTACCACAGGTCTGAAATAATGCACAGGTCGATAGTTCCTTGGCAGTTCAGGGGGTGGGTAAGTCTCAACAAAACAGAACAGAGAAAATGCAGGTTCAAGATCATGTTTGATTCAGGAAACTCCACTACCTCTGAGCACTGTTAACCCCGCCCCTTCTGAGGCTAACATAAAGCAGGTAGGTAGCACCGAAACGGACTGGTCAGGAATCCAGTCGGCTTTTATTCTGGGTCTGCAGGGTCACCAGGGCCACGGTGACTCAATGACATACTACTCCTGCCCACTTTTCCACAGACATGCCAATTTGCATGCTTTATTGGATGAGAACAAGAAAGATGACAGCAGGGCCAGCAGGTGGCATGGTGGTTAAGACACTGGACTCCCACATGGCCAACCATGGTTCAAGTCCTGGACCTGGAGGTTTGCTTTCCTACTTTCCCTTTTTCCCTCCCTGTCTCTCTCTGGTCAAATAAAACAAATAATAACGATGATAATAAATGAAATAAAATAATTCTAAAAAAAAAGAAAGAGGATAGCGGATAGCACAATGTAATACCCCATATGTAGAACTGAGCTTCTTTAGATCAGAAAATTTAGACAAGAATGATTCAAAGCTTAAAAAATAATATTGAGTCATCAGAAAAATCATGACACATTTTTGCATAGAAAAGTAGAAAAATATTTCATGACTTTTCCAATAACCGAATAACTTAATTGGTCAGTACCACTGACTAGTAGTTAAGGAAGCCAAAATCTCACTTGACCAACCTTGGCTTGAAAATCCTGGCCCCAGTGGCTTTAAAACTACGCCAGGCACATGTGCATGAGTGCCCCGAATCCCAAGAGGACGGAGAAGGGATTGTGGCATGACCATATCCCATGGGAGGGTGCTTCTCCCTTCCCCTCTGTCTGTCTGTCTCTTTCTAGTGACTGCACATGCCTTCTGGCAACTGAAATAATAATAACTTCAGTTTTTTTTAATTCAGAATTCTTTCTTCTGGTCATGTTTCAATTCCAAGTTGACACTTCAGGACTTATTTTGTGACCCAAGGTGGTTTATCTTGTTTTGTTTTGTTTTTTTAGGTTTTCCCCACAGGGCATGTGTGCTCACCAGAGACAGACAGACAGAGAGTGAGGGAAAGTTGAGAAATCATCCCCCAAGGGAGATAACCATACTGCAATCCCTTCTCCTCCATCATCCTCTCAGAATTTGGGGCATGGAAGCACATGCACTATTGTATTCTATAACCCATTACATATATATATACATACATACATATATACATACACACATACACACACACATACACACACACACACTTATTTATTTATAATGGCCAGGGGGTGGTGTGCTCACCAGAGAGAGAGAGAAAGCACCTCCCAGTGGCACATGGTCACTCTGCGATCCATTTCCTTCATTCCTCCTTCCTGTTAGGATTTTGGGTGCACATGCTCATGTGCCTGGCATGTTTTTCAATATGCTGGGTCTCGGATTCAAACAGCACAGTAAGCCATGTGGGACCTGGTTCCCAATGTATATCACTTAACCACTATGCTAAGGGCCAGCCCTTGCTTGCACTTTTTTTTTTTTTTTTTAATTTGCTAGAGGGCGTTTTTCCGGGAGAGACAGAGAGAGAGAGAGAGAAAAGGAAAGTGAGAAAGCACCCTGGGGTGGGGGCACACCTCAATTCCCTCTCCTCCATTTCTCCTTTGAGGATTTGGGGCATTTTGCATGCACACGTGCCCAGTGTGTTTATCAAAGAGCCAGGTCCCATACTCAAATTGTGCTAGGGACCAGCAGTTAGTGTAATGGCTATGTTGCTGGACTCCCATGTAGTCAACCACAGTTTGAGTCCTGGACCTGGAGGTTTAAAACTCACTCTGGGTGCATGTGTGTGCATGCCCAAGATTCCAAGAGGAGAATAGAGAAGGGATTGTGGTATGGCCATTCCGTCAGCAGGGTGATTTCTCACTTTCTGTCTCTCTCTGTCTGTCTGGCGAGTGCACGCACCCTATTGCAAAAATCTCTCAAAATAAATAAATAAATCGTGCTGTCAGCCATGCGGGCTCCAGCTGCCTTAACCACCATGCCACTGGCTGGCTCCTTTCCATTTATTTGTATGCACTCGGGTATTTGGTAACCAAGTTCTTCCCCTTTCTATTGTGTTTCCGGTATTCACCATTACACTACCTACTTCTCACCCATCGACTGTTCCCACCAGAGGAGAGCTAACAATACCGCAGCCTGTGACCAGCCAGGGAGGCCTGCTACACTTGGGATTTCCCAAGCTTCCTGGTGGTTGAAGGGTACAGTCTGGGTTGAGCTCCTGAGACACTGAAAGTCCAGGAAAGAATAGTACTAACCTTGCAGGAAATCTCAGTTTTTATCATCTTAGCCTGATCATCTCTCCTGAAACACAGATTCCCCAATTAGCCAGAAAAACACTTTCTTGTGACAAAACTAGAGAGGGACATGGCAGGAA